CACTAGTTCGGCTACTCAGAGCAGGCCCGGGGTGGGAACCCTGGTACCTGCTCTTTCCCGCTTCATTCTTGTCAAATCCTTGCCACCCACTTGGATCCACCCTGGGGCTGTTCCCCACCGAAAGGCGTCCAGGGTGCTTGGCACTCTCCTCCCTGTATTGGGGGTGCCCGCACATCACAAGGCTGAGTGTGCAGCAATGACTTCCTGCTGAAAAACTGCCAGTGAGCCCTGGCTGCCAGGACACCAGATGGAGCCCTGTGGGTGCTGTCAGGGAAGCACCCGCTGTTAACCACAAGGTTCAAAACCCCAGCTTCTCTGAGGGGCCCGAGAGGCAGAGGCAGGCTGCTCCTGGGAAGAGGACAGCCTCAGAAGCCCTGTATGGATAGTCACCAGGAGTTGGAAAGGACCCCTTCACAGTGGGTTGTTTTTTGTTGTTGTTACCAGGACACCAGGCAAGATGTAGTCTGGCTGGCTTTTCCCAACTTCTTTATAATCCTCCTTCCCTGCTTTCTGACACCAGGCTCCTTCTTGCCTTGGGGCCTTCCCTGGACTACCTTTGAACCTCTTTGGCCCTGACCTCACCTATCATCTTATCTCCTCCTGCCTCCCGAGGGCTGGTTCAAATCCCTTTTCCCTTCAAAGCCCTCCCAGCCCCTCATGTTCTCCGATTATTTCTGCCCTCTTTGAACCAAGCTGTGCTTAGTCTAAATCAAGGGTCCTCAAACTACAGCCCTCGGGCCACTTGCGGCCCGAGAGGACATTTATCTGGCCTGCAGGGTGTTTTTGCCCCATTTTGTTTTTTACTTCAAAATAAGATATGTGCAGTGTTCATAGGAATTTGTTCATAGTTTTTTTTTAAAAAAACTATAGTCCGGCCCTCCAACGGGTCTGAGGGACAGTGAACTGGCCTCCTGTTTAAAAAGTCTGAGGACCCCTGGGATGGTACAACTGAGCACCCTTTGATTCAGTGCCTTTTAAAAATTATTTATTTATTTATTTTTTTGATTCAGTGCCTTTTATGGCTCTCCTACTGGGCGAGGCAGCATGGAACTACCGAGTGCGCTAATGGAGGGGAGCCACTGGCCACCTGTGCTGTTAGGAGACAAGGTGCTTAACTCCCTGGGCCTGAGCGACCACATCCAGAAACGAGGCTCTTTAGGGCCTGGCCCAGATGCCCTATGGGTCTGATGAGGGCCATTTTCCTCAGTTAGGG